AAAAGTCTGCGCTGATTGGCCTGATTTACTCAATAATTACTCCTTTATTATAAATAATAGAAAAAAATGGTTCAGGACTTTTCGACTCAGTTTTATTTCTTCTACCTGCCTACGAGAGATTGTACGGCAATTCTGGGACATCCTGTATATGTACATCACTGCATTCTTCCAGCGGTGCAGTGCGCACGTGCGAAAACGCAACTTTGAGACAACACCGTTTCGTTATTTACTACCAATGCTGAAAATCTATAATACACGTGACGTGAATTATAGATTTTCAGTGAAAACAATCATGAAATAAGTTGACTTGACCAAGATTCAAGTAGGTGGCGGCTTTGACTGCAGGGTCTGCGCGCGTGATAAAAAAGATCGTGCTGATATCACGATAGTAATCTTATATTCGGCATCGCGCGGGAATTGTGACTTTTCGTGTCGAACACAAGGCGGAACGAGGTAGATCTGCAAATATTTGACACAATGACTTCTTCACCTGAAAATCGTGATGATCAACACTCTCACGTGTTGATTCCAATTTTTGTAAGTATCTGCGCTATCCCGATCTCGATGATGTTTTGGATAGTAAATGTGGATTATTCAATATTGTGGCCGGATTCTGAGAACCATATAAAAGGTTTGTATGCGTTTTTAATATTAATTACTATTAATTAATAATTAATTTTAAATATAGAAATGAAGATTTGGAGCAGACACGGTTGTTGATGTTTAAAGTGCAAAAATGTATTTTATTGCATAAACATAATATATAATATATAATATAAAACGTTTTTGACCCGCGTAGGTTTTGGTCTTTTTCAATATATGTATACATATCTACAAAAAAGGACCGCAAATTCATACATAATGAAAGAAATTGAGAAAAAAAATACGACTTAAAAATTTACATATTTAGGATAAAACGAACATATGTCGGCATTACAGAATGTTACATAATGGACCACATTGTCATAAACAAAGACAGCAACGCAACTGACAAGAGTAACGTCTGCGCAAATTTTAAACGATACTTATTTGCTGGTTAATCGCATAGAAATAGAATTTGTTTTTCTCAATTTCTTTCATTATGTATGAATTTGCGGTCCTTTTTGTAGATATATATTGAGAGAAAGATCGAAACCTACGGTCGAAAACGTTTTATATTATATATTACATATTATGTTTATGCAATAAAATACATTTTTGCACTTCATACATCAACAACCGTGTCTGCTCCTTATGGCTTTATGGGAAATCTTCATTTTTATATTTATAATATTGGAGCTATTTTCTCACATCTTTAATTGTTAATTAATTTTAATATTATCTGACTGTTTAGTAGTATCTCATTTTCAGTGTCAGTGCCCGGTAAAACATTTTCCATGTATAAAATTGTATGGACATATTCGGTATATAAATTTGCATAATTAGATATAATAAGTTTACTTTGTATATAAGTATATATGATTATATATCAAAAATTTTTTTAAAATATAGTAAAAATATAGTTTTATATATTTTTTTTGTATCTAACATGATACTAATAGAGTTATTTTGTAATTTGATATGGAATATCTCTGAAGCCATTCTCTTAAAAAAAGAAATTCTCCGTGTATAAAATTGTATGGACATATTCGGCATATAAATTTGCATAATTAGATATAATTATTTTAATTTGTGTATAAGTATATCGTCACTCCCTACGTATAATCCCGTAACTCCAAAACGCAAATTTTAGAGGAGAGCAGTTTAAAAGTTTGAAGCTTCATATAGTTTCCCTAGTTAAGGGATCTTTCGGTTTTAAATTTTTACCTTACTTATGAATATTTTTTTTTAATACTTGGTGAGAGACCACAAAGAACATGATTTTCTGAGTGTCACTATGCAATAAACTGAAAATCCCATATGTGACACTTATGTAATTATACGTAGGGAGTGACGATATATGAAAAATTTTTTACCGGGTGGAACTTTAAGAAAGGTCAATAGCAAAACCACGTTGTTTCAAATTTAAAAAATCTGAAAGAACGTGAAATTTTTCGGTCAGTGAGAGCCATACGCTAAATATTTGTCGCGTATTTATATATATATATAATATATATATATACATATATACAAGGTGTCTCGTAATTGCCGTACAATCTCTCGTGAGCAGGTAGAGAGAGTTCTATTGAGTCAAAAAGTTCTGTACCACTTTGCGAAAGTCGCAATACTTACTGAGATCTTAATTAATAAAGATCTGCGAAGGAGCGTACATTGGACTGTCTTACGCGCTTAACATTTATATGTTACAAGATAATGGAAACTGAGATTTATATATATGTCAACTATGAAAAAATTACTACTTAAATGTTTTTAAAGAATCTTGTGAGAGATTTGTACAAAAAATTAATTATTTAACTTAAATTCTTCTAAATTGTAAATGATGAGATCATACATGTACATAAATTACAATATTTACATAAATTTTAATAATCACATCACAATTTTATGCTTTCTTATATTTTTTTTCTTATACTTTTGGTGTCTCTAAATTTTATGTAAAAAGTTTTTTCTGATATTAAAGTTCAGTTACAGAAGCAAAATCAGTTTATAAGGTTTCTTATATACAGTAATATTTATTTTAGAACATTCAGTGATTTCACCATGGAGATGGCTAATTGCAGTTGGAGTACCATTTTTCTTTTTCTTTTGGGGATACCGCAAGAAAAATATAAATATCATCGGTGGGATGCTTGGTATGTAAAACAAAATTCAATGTGTATGATAAGAAGATATGTACGATTATAAATTACTGATGTTTACTTATACTACTTGTTTGAGGTGATAAGTCGTAATGTTTTCATCTGTATTTATATAAGTTGACATATGTTTATTAAGCTGATAAAACAAGCAGTTTTATTACTTTTTTTATTTTATTATTTTATTACTTTTTTTTATTTTATTACTTTTTTTTCTGTCATTGTTGTTGTGCGATTGCTTTTAGTTCGTACTTTTTTCTTGGTCTGGCTGTGCGCGAGTTCAGAGTTTATTTCTTTTTGTTTAAAAATTTACATAAGTGGACTTTAAGTGGAAGGAAAAAAGATAACCTTTGAACAGCGACTAGTTTAGCAAAAAAGAACATATTGTTTGTGAGAAGTTTATTGTTGTGAGCTTTTTATCTTAGCTTTATTATGCATAAAAAATCTATCTAAAGAACATATTGATCTGTAAGAAGTCTATGTAATGCTAAGAAAGTATTTAAATTTTGGATCTGAGTGTGCTAAGTACAGTAGAATGTCATATCGTTTCGCGTTCAAAGAAAGCAGTTCTTTGATCGCCTCTTAGTATCGCGCGCCATTCTTCTCTGATTTCCGCCAACAGCGCGTGATAGAAGGTACCCGAACAAGAATTACCTCTCCTAACGCGGAACAACATGGTGCGCTTTACTGGACTGCTTAATTTAATTTAAATTACATGTTTTAACTTCTTATATAGATTATTAATTGCATGTTTAATTATGGAACACTAGGTTTCGTCATGGGATTTATTTTAACATTCTCAAGCTATGCTCATGTAGCAGTATTTTTAACATTCTTCGTCACTGGATCAAAAGCGACGAAGTTCCGATCTGTAGAAAAGAAGAAAATCGAAGGTGATTTTAAGGGAGGGAAACGTAGATGGATACACGTGGTCTGTAATGGCGGTATGGCTACTCAGTTGGCTTTATTATATTTGCTAGATGTTGGTAGTGGAGAACGACCTATAGACTTCAACAGCGAGTATCGTAGTTCATGGTTGTCTGTTGCTATAATAGGTAAATGTCTTCAGTTTTATGCATGTGTATATGTAAATTACTAAACAAAATGTTTTATAGGAGCAATTGCGTGTTGTTGTGGTGATACGTGGGCTTCAGAACTCGGTACTGTGATGAGTAAAAGCGATCCTTTTCTTATTACAACTTGGAAAAGAGTGCCACGAGGTAAAAATGCTAATTGTTTATGTGTTCGATACGCAAATACAATAAATTCTCTATATTTATGAAGATTTTTATTAGATTGTCTATTTTTGTTACAATAAAAAATCATGAAATTGATATGATATTAAAATATTTCTGCTTTATTTTTCAAGGTACAAACGGTGCTGTATCGTGGATGAGTCTTTTATGTGCTTTTCTCGGTGGATTAGCAATTGGTTTAGTTTATTACGTTGTGATATTGTACACCGTCGACACGAGTGTACTAGAATTGTCACCACCACAATGGCCCATTATACTTGTTGGAGGATTTGGAGGTTTTTTCGGTAGTTTATTAGATTCTATTCTTGGCGCGACTGTGAACTATTCAGGTAAATGTGTTTTCAAGTTATATCATTTTTGTCTTCTTGTGATTTTCTTACTTTGAATTGGAAAATAAAAATTTTGATTTTCGACCAATGTTTGCTACATTGCATCAGACAAATTTGTAAAATGTGATCGTGTATTTTTAGGAGTCGACGAGAAAGGTTTCGTAGTAAAACAACCGGGAAAAGGCGTAAAATATATAAGCGGTAAACATGTCTTGGATAACCACAGTGTAAATCTTCTTTGTAGCATTGGAATCGCTCTTATTCTTCCGCAAATAGCCAACGTTTTCTGGCCGAGTGTCTGAGTTATTTTAGAAACAAAAAGAAAGAAGATTTTATATAAGAAATATGAAAGTTTTAATATAAGAATTGTTAATAATTCTGATTCCTAGGAAAAAGTGTTACTTTAATGGATATCACGCTCAATTTCGAGATTGTTATTAGTTTTGCTCACGGTAGTTTTCATATTAGAGTTTTTATATTTGTATTATTTTTATGTAATGATTAAAACGTTGTGTATGGAAAAGCTTTGTGTGAACTGTGTTTTTAATTTATTAACTATATTGTAAATATACAGTATATGATTGGCATTGCTATATTAAAACCAGAACTTTTTTATGTGATGAAGATATTGAAACAAATGCAAATGTATAAATCTGTATTTTACGACAGTTTTGCAAAATTTGTGAATTGTTTTATTGATAGTATAAAAAAATTTACAAAATATTGTATATATCATTCTTGTGTGTCTGCATTGTTAAATATAAAATATACACACACGATAATAATTATCAAAAGCAGGACAATGGTTACGAATGAAATGAAGGTTTCTACAAAGATTTATATCAATATTTAAGCAGACAGTGCAAAAGTGTTTAAATGGTAGATTTATCAGGAAGTAAATAGCTTTATTGTGTAAATCCCGAAACCAAGTATATACATGTAAAAATACATATATTTAACATAATGAATAACATGTTGGTTTTTATAACCAGGAAAAATTGGGAGCAAACTTCGTTACATGTAAAAAGTAATGATCCAGAACTGATTTTCTACAATTGCTCGTTTTGTGAAAAAAGACGATAGGTTTATACGATTGGATTATTTTACTAAAAATTCTATCACATATACGAGCAATAAATTTTCGAATTATTTGGTTTAGATGACGATAGTAAAGTAAGAAGGTCATGTTAATGTTTAACATATATATTGCTCACGCATTGAATAATAATGACATAAATTTACGGCTTTACAGATTCAATTTGTCTGTGACCTTAGAGATAAGAATACAATTTGTAACTGACGTTTTTTTTTGGATCCTGTTTTGACGTAAAGATTCAAAGCTTGTTGCAATTATATCGACGGATTAACAGCAAAGTGATGTCTTATAAGCGACATTTGTCTGTTTTTGATAAATTTTGTTATTAGTGAAAAGAAAGATTAAAAATATGTCAGATATCATGGAAAAAAAATTTTAAGTACCAATACAATGGAATAGTGTATCTGTGTGTGTGTGTGTGTGTTAGTTGGTATAATTTATAACGTTCTCTTATCAAACTGGTTTATTTTATCATTTTCTAAGATGCGAGTATTGATACCAGGAAAAACCTTTGCAGTCAGACGTTATGTCAGAGAGGGAAGTTTACACATTCGTAAGCCGGAGTAATGGTGTCTCAAGGTGCTCAATATTTTTTTTAAATTTTAACTGTCGAGGGTGGATAAAAATATGATATGGTGTAAACTCATGGAGAGACAAATACCGAGACAATTGTATTTTCCGCGCAAGCGTCAGTTCGCGGAAGAAGCGAAAGAGATCATAGGATGCGTTCCGTTTCACGCATATGCGCGTATTTATTTTTCTATAGTACACGTCACGTATAATATATATATAAATGCGCGTATATGAGACGGAACGCAACTATAGGATGCGTTCCGTTATTTATTAACTAGTATTGAAAAGCTATAATTCACGTCGCGTTTATTATAGATTTTCAATGAACAAAATCATCGAATGAGTTAGCTTGACCATGATTCATGGTAGGTGACAGCACCAACAGCAGGCAGGTGTGTGCGTGCGTGATGAAAAAGATCGTGCTGGTGTCACGATAAGTAATTCTTTATATTCGGCATTGTGCGAGAATCGTGATCTTTTGTGTTGAACACATGGTGGAACGAGGTGGATCTGCAAACACTTGACACAATGACTTCTTCAACTGGAAATCGCAAGGACCAACACTCTCACGTGTTGGTGCCAGTCCTTTTAAGTGCCTGCGCTATCCCGATTTCGATGATGTTTTGGATAATAAATGTGGCTTACTCAATACTCTGGCCGGATTCTGAAAACCACATAGAAGGTTCATATGCAATTTTTCATACGCGTTTTTGATATTAATTACTATTAAGTAATAATTAATGGTAACGTTATTTTTGACTGGTCAGTGTTAATTTTTTTTGTTACGGCTAGTGAAAATTTATGTGTTTACAATTGTTGTTCTAAACAAAAGATCTTATTTAACTGTGTGTGTAATAATAAATTTTACAAAACAAAGTTAAGAAATAATTTATTATGTACGTATATATGTACATGATGTAATAGAGTGCTTTTGTGGTTGTGTTTTAGTACATGTTCGTGAGAATATTATATCGTGTTTACTGTGTGCTTTGTGTTTGTCTAAATTGTTTTGCCAGAAAGAAGCTTTTGTACATTGTTTACCTTGTTTTACATTTCAATCCATAATCTCAGTTTACATTTAAGATGATTTATTGTTTTGCGATATATTTAATGTGCTCAACAGTTACTAGACTTTTAGAGGACAAACATTGGTACTCTAATCTTTTGAGGTTATTCTTGAATAAAGAACAAGTTCGGTTTTGTAATCTAGTAAAAGAAGTCAGAGTTGAACAAGTTTGGTTTTAGTGTCAGTGGAATCTTAAAAAAGTTTGATAGCAAAAAAAAATTTAACAAATGTGGCTTAGAAATATGGCAGTTTTTGTTATTATTAGTGTACTGAAACTGTATACATTTATCTTATTTGTATTACAGATAGTTATTTTCTTTATTGCTATAAAAATAATGGAAGAAGGTAAAAAACCTAGTGGTTTAATAGCTCAAAATATATTTTACAAGATAATGAAAACTTAGATATATAAATATGGCGCAAACTATAAAAACATTATTACCTAAATGTTTCAAAAAATCATGTGAGAACTGTACAAAAATGTAAATATTCAAATTAAATTCTGTTGAGTCGTAAAAGATGATGTCATACATGTTCATAAATTAGAATATTCAAATAAGTTTAATAGTTGCGTGCATCGTAAGCTATCTTATATTCTTTTCTGTAGTTTTGATGTCTGTAAACCTTATGTAACAAATCTTTTTCTGATGTCCAAGTTCAGTTATTGAGGCAAAATCTGTTTATACTTCTTATATACATTATTCTTATTTTAGAACGTTCAGTGATTTCACCATGGAGATGGCTATTTGCAGTTATAGTACCACTTTTATTCTTGTTTTGGGGATACAGCAAAAAAAATATAGATTTCACTGGTGGGATTCTTGGTATGTAACACAATTATATATATAATTTGTAAGACGAAGATGTACAAATATAAATTGTACTGATGTTTATTTCTAATAGTTTGAGGTGATAAGTTGTAATATTTTCATTATATTTATATAAGTTGACATTTGTTTGCATAGCTTATAAAAAAAGCAGTTTCATTACTTTTTTTTCTGTCATTGTTGTTGTGCAATTGTTTTTAGTTTGTACTTTTTTACTGAACTGGCTGTGCAAGTTCAGAGTTCATCTTTCTCACTTTAAGTGAAAGAATAAAGCTTTTATCTTAGCATAAAAAAATATCTAAAGATACCAAATCGATTTGTAAGAAGTCTATGTATTGCTAAAAAATTGTTTAAGTTTTGAAGCTGAGTGGTCTAAGTATAGTAGTAGAATGCACTATATTGTTCCGCGTCCAAGGTAAGCAGTTCTTCGACCGCTTCTTACTATCGAGCGCCATTCTTCTTCGATCTCCGCCAATGGCCCGAGATCCGATTCATCTACTGGCGCGCGATAGGAGATAGCCAGAAGAGAACTACCTTTTACCACGGGACGATATGGTGCACTCTACTATACTACTTAATTTTGTTGATTACATGTTGCAACATTATGTAGATATTATGTAGATTATTAATTGATTGTTGATATTATGTAGATTATTAATTGATTGTTTAATTATGGAACACTAGGTCTCGTTATGGGTTTTATCTTAACACTTTCAAGCTATGCTCACCTAGCAGCACTTGCAACATTCTTCGTCACTGGATCAAAAGCGACGAAGTTCCGATCTGTAGAAAAGGAAAAAATCGAAGCTGATTTTAAGGAAGGAGGACAGCGTAGCTGGACGCAAGTGCTCTGTAATGGCGGTATGGCTACTCAGTTGGCTCTATTATATTTGCTAGATGTTGGTAGTGGAGAGCGACCTATAGACTTCAACAGCGAGTATCGTAGTTCGTGGTTATCTGTTGCCATATTAGGTAAATATCGTCATCTTCAGTCTTATGGATGTGTGTGTTTTAAATTACTAAGCAAAATGTTTTGTAGGAGCATTTGCATGTTGTTGTGGCGATACGTGGGCTTCAGAACTTGGTACTGTGATCAGTAAAAGCGATCCTTTCCTTATTACAACAAGGAAAAGAGTGCCAAGAGGTAAAAATGCTAATTTTGTATGCGTTCGATACGCCAATACTTACAAATACAATAAATACTTTATGATTACGAATGTTTTTAGTAAAGTATCCATTTTTGTTACAATAATAGATCGTAAAACCTGAGATAACAATTAAAGTTTTCGTCCTTTTTTTTTTTTGAAGGAACAAACGGTGCTGTATCGTGGATGGGTCTTTTATGTTCGTTTCTTGGTGGGTTAGCAGTTGGTTTGGTTTATTACGTTGTGATATTGTACACCGTCGACACGACTGTACTGGAATTGTCGTCACCACAATGGCCCATTATACTTGTTGGAGGATTTGGAGGTTTTTTCGGTAGTCTATTAGATTCTATTCTTGGCGCGACGTTACAATATTCAGGTAAATGTGCCTTCAAGTTTTGTCATTGTTGTCTGCTTGTTTTTTTGTCATTTTGATTTGGAAGATAAAAAGTTTTATTATCGAGCACTTTTTTTCATATCGCATCAGACATATTTGTAAAATGTGACCGTGTATTTGTAGGAATTGACGAGAAAGGTCTCATAGTAGGACGACCGGGAAAAGGCGTAAAATATATAAGCGGTAAACAAATCTTGGATAACCACAGTGTAAATCTTCTTTCTAGCATTGGAATCGCTCTTATTCTTCCGCGAATAGCCAATGTTTTCTGGCCAAGTTTCTGATTTAGTCTAGAAACAAGGAGAAAGAAGATTGTATATGAGAAACATGAAAGTTTTAATATAAGAAATGTTAATAATTCCAATTCCCAGTAAAACATGTTACTCTAATGGATAGATTACTCACGCTCAATCTCGAGAGTTTAGTATATGTGGTTATGTTATTTTTCATATTTGGTTTGTTTTATATTTTTATTATTGTTATGTAAGCATTACAACGTTTCGTGTATGCGAAAGCATTTCGTGAACTGTGCGTTTTTATTTTATTAGGTATATTGTAGGTATACAGTATATGGTTGGCATCATTACTATATTAAAACTAAAAGTTTTTTATGTGATGAAGATATTGAAACTAATATGTATAGATCTGTATTTTACGACAGTTTTGTAAAACTTATGGAGTCTTTTATTTTGATATTATAAAAAGATTTACAAAATATCGTATAAATCAGCATTCTTGTGTGTTTGCATTTTTAAATATGAAATATATACACATGATATATTACATATTTGTCACAAGATATATCGCATTTTCTTTAGTTAAAGCTTACTGACAAATATTTGTATAATGTTTCTATTGTCGTTCGAAAAGATCATGTCGTATTTAATTAAAAGGTAATGCTAAATGTTTATATTTTTATTATTATTATTTGTTAGAAAAAAATTCATCACATTTTACCTCAAGCAAAAGTTACTGATAAATATATGTGTATGTCTGTGTTGGTTTCGGCGCAAAATGCAATAAGATCTTTATAAATAAAATTTGCATGTGTGAATGTGTGTACATATATAATAAAATGTAAATAATGTAAATATATCACTTTTTCAGAAGAGTGTCAATTTAATAGATGTAAGAATTAAAGTGGAGTTATAGAATAAAAATTATAAGAATTATACAATTATATATAATAAGATTTTGATACATTTTTCTCGTTCACTTTAATACGTATAATATATATTCTCTACACATATTTATGGATATAAAACTTTGTAAGTTTATATCATTATATACCGATACATTTGTAAAAAGTGTGCATACATATTTGGCTAGACGAAAAATACAAACTATTTCAAAGATAATTAATTTCAATACTTCATAACTAGAAAATTTTAAGTAATACTTGAATTAATATAATTCAGAAACAGTATGTTTTACACTAAATATTGAATAAAAAACAAAGCTTTTTTGCAAACTACTAGATAATGTAGCAAGTGAATGATGTTAATTGTAGAAATAAATGTTTGGAACATGATTTATTTGGTGCTTGATCGAGAGTACATTACTTAATTATTAAAATAAGTGAATAACCAATATGTATAATCAGTGAACATCAGATTTTCTGTCTCATCATTGTTCTTAAGCATAAGTGTGGCAACTAATTTATATTGTTCCTGTTTGTGTTCTATCGATATGTTTAAAATAATACGATTAAATTATATTAAAAATAATTTAATTATTTATACTATTTCGTTTTGCTTCTCCTCTTTTTCTCTTATACATTAAAAATAACAGATTTAGAGAATGAGAACTCATTACAACTGTAAGTGTAAGGAAATCACAGCTACATATCTAAAACCCGGATAGTCTCCGAGTTTTACTCGCACGAATGGATGACTGACTCGCGCGTTACTAAATTAAATCTTCACATCCACACACACACATACGCACACACACAATATTATGCACGCCAAAACATAAATTTATATATATATATCCGCACTTAAAGATTTAATCTAAAAAGATTTTTCGTTTTAAAAAAAGGATCTCTAAAGACGCAAAAAATATATGTACAAAAAACATATATATTTGTAAAGTTTATAAATTTAAGTAAAATTTCTAAACCTTTATCTATTTAATAGGATTTGTGTGGATCTATGTAAGAGTGTACAGAAGAAATCATAAATATTCGCTAGCTTTTCTTCTATGTAGTTGAGCTAGTGTGACATACACAACACACATGTCATATCTATATAATATATTCGAATATTTTCGAAACGGTCGGGTGTGTAAAACAATATAAGTGAATATACTTCAAATGTCACTTATCTTGTTTATACTCTTTCATACACACACATATATATATATATATAGTTGAATATATATACATACGAAAGAGTATATATGTATGTAATTGAATATATTATGTATATATGTTCGGATTGTGTGTAAAATATGTATGTATGTATGTACATATGAATATATAACATATCAAAAATCATTATGACTTCCGGAAAATATTATGCTTCTCTTAAAAAGATACTGAGTGTATATATATACATATATAACTGTATATGTATGTGTATATATATATATACATATATATATATATATATGCGTATATGTATATATATATGTATATACATATGTATGTATGTATATATATATATATATATATATGTATATATATATAAAATGAGAATACAAGCAATATAAAATCATCTCTAATGAACAATTATATATTCGATGGATAATTGTACATTAATTCTCCTACGATGAAATTTCTATAAGAAATTTCTGTATGTATCAATTTATGATCCATTATTTTTACATAAAGTTTGAGATAAATATTATGCAAAAGAAATACGTACAATGTATAAATTGTCAAAGTCCAACGGAATAATCACTGAATGTGAGATGTGATGTTTATATTTTTTTTGTTTTGTTTTTGTTTTTATATAACTGCCTTGCAGTATACAGCATATACGTAAATTCCGAAATGAAGATCGTCGTTTACGACCGATGTTACACGTCCGACGTTCTCGAAAATCGACGTCATTTCGAGCTACCGTTTGTAACGTCCCTTTATTAATTGTAACGCCTTTGCCATGAGCGGTGCTTTTGTCTTTTTCCCGTTGTTCGATGCTGCAATGCGCGAGTATAATTGATGTTAAAATAATAATTTAAAATCAAATTTGAAGAGTATAATATTGATGAAGAGAATATACTAACTTGATGCCTTAAATCGAACCATTGGCGGTGCCGGTACAGCAATGTTTGTCGCATTGTTAGCTGCAGGACTGGACAATTTTTTCTTTACACTAGAAGCAGTGACAGGTATGGCGGAAGCCGTGCCGTACTTCGCTTGCTTCTTCAGTATGTTTCGCGGTGGCTTCACAACATTATCCACATACGCGAGCTTTGTGGATCTGACCGGGACGGAGTTGTCAATGGACTGTTTGATGTTCGCAGTGACGTTCTTCAATTTTGCTTCTCTTTCGTCCAAGCAGCGCTGAACAATACAAATGTGTGTGTGTGTGTGTGTGTGTTTTACGTCATTGCAACAACAAAATATTAAACGTACCAAACATATTTTACGATACAAACACGCACGCACGCATGAACTGTGTGTTCGGATGTTTTTTTATCATTTCAGTTTTACTCACCATATACATATCGCGCCACGATTCCATCTCTTTTCTTTCCATGCTTCTGAACTCTTTGTTACAATGATATTCCCATAACGTATCCGTATCCTCTATAAGGTACGGATTATAATGTTCCAACGTAAATAACTGTTCAGCCGAAGCCCGTTCCAGAACCGGCTTTAATATGTCATACGGTACACCGCCGGTATATTCGAGAGCTAAAAAAAAAAAAAAACACACAAAAACACTTAGTCCTTTCTTGTAGGATACACATCCCCGCGGTACGTTGTAATGTGCAAACAATTTCAGTGCGCGAATAAAACAAATACAAATGTGCTCACCGTCAATATTGTCCATCAATACTCTGAGGCACAATTCGTACAACGTGGGCACCTTCGCACCATATCGCGCAGTGGGTTTGTTACCAGAGTATACTTTTGTTCTGGAAATTTCAGAAAGCAAAACAAATTTTTCAGCAACTAAATATCTCAAGACAGTTTCGTTGTTTTAGCGATATAAATAATCGCACCTTTGAAAAAAGAAAGAAGGAAAGAAGCAAATTAGTACCTAACTCTTTCTAGTCAACAAGAAGAAGAAGAAACTAGAAGGTTAATCACGATTGGGAGAAGTTATAGGAGATAGAGAATAGATTTAAGTGTCAAGTTGTAAGATATGCGTGGATTTTAGAAGGACAATGTTAAGTGGACAATTTAGACGTAAGTTAACTAAGATAATGTACAGAGTAGAAGTAGTTAGGGTAAGAAAACGATATGTGTAGGTAGGTTGGGAGAATGGGAGGTGTTAAGGTATGGATGGATGGATGATATTGGAAAGCTTGTAAACCAAGTCCCCTTCTTCGGCCGGGAAAGGCTGATGTGAATATAAATAATAATATATAATAATCGCACCTTTGATTCTTGACGTAAATGATATCGTCGATTGGTTTAAACTCTTCTCTACGACTACTGATGGAGTTGACGTGTGGCAACGGCTTGTAATTGGGACTGATTTCCGGCAACGTAAAAGTTACCAAATCTGCGCTCAGCGGTTCCAATTTGATATTCGGGGCCAAAAGAGACGGCTGTGAAAATAAAGGTGTGTTTTTTTTTAGAATTATCTCTCGCGCAATACACGAATATGCTAAATGTGAAAAAAAAAAAAAACAAATTACATTCGAAGCGTCGCTGGATTCCGGCTCAGTTTTTACCGCGATCTTTTTGTTACTAATCGGAGGCGACAATCGTTCCGTTTTAACGAGCTTGCTGGAACTTTGAGCGAGCGAGTTGTTGGCACGTTTTTTCAACGGCTGAGACACGGTGCACATGCCAAGCGCTTCTGCAAAACTTGTTCCTAAAACAAAAACAAAAAAAAATCAAATATAAAAATATGCACGTTTGATTATATTTGTCAGAATAAAAATGTTTTTTAACTTCTTTTTGATGGGATAAATTAACGGAGAGAAATGTTTCTTTTTACACACCGGAGTTGCAATCAATCCCATCGTCGCTATTTATTTCTTGCTTCACCTTGATCTTCGTACGTTTGCTTTTGTTTTCCGCGTGCTCGCTTTTTATATTTTTTTCCTTACTCTTGTTGTGATCCTTGTCGCTGGATGATCTAACTTTGGAACTCTCCTTTTTAGAATGATGGCTGGATTCTTTTTTCGCGTCGTGTTTCTTGTGATTCTTGTCCTCGTCCTTTTTAAACTTTTGTTTCTCACCGCTATCCTTGGTTTTGTTGTTCAATTCTTCCGGTTTGAGCTTGACGGAACTGCTCTTGGATTTTTCTTGCTTCTTCTGTTTGTCGCTTTGTTCATTACTCCCGGAAGATTTCGAACAAGAAAAATTCTTGTCCCCATTAAGTAACTTGGACTTCTCCTCGTCGGTTTTAACATCTGTCAGTCTTCTCTTCTTGTTTTCTTTTGAAACATTCACCGTATCTCCCTTTCTTTTTCTACTGTCATCCTCGTTATCTCTGACGGTTAAGTTGATCTTATCTTTCTTCATCGAATCATCTGTTTTATTATGGCTTTGTTTCGTTGAACTATGAGTTTCCTCCTTTTTTACATTTGACTTACTGCTTTTTGATTCCTTTTCAATAATCAAAGACTTTTTCTCACTATGGGAATGATGCTTGGAAGAGTGTTTGCTCTTGTTGTTCAGTTCGTGCTTATCTTCTGTCTTTGATTTGGATGAACACATTGTGTTGTATTTTGTGGTCGTTTCACTTTTACCTTCTCTATGTCTACTTTTATTTTCTTTATATTTTGATTCTATCGATTGATCAGACGACGCGTTTTCTTGTAAATCTACTGCCTTTGGTGATGCCTGGCTGTCGGGATAATTTTTGTGAACATCAGGTACACAAGGCTCGTCTTCATCCTCACCATCGCTAGATTCTTCGTCCGCCACCATTGTCTTCCATTTGAAAACAAGGGCCCTCGCAGCATCGCCAACAGTACCCTCATACTTTCTGAAGCTATTTACAGTTCTTCCCACTCCCGTTTCCTGTAGATGCTGCACCGTCACCGGTAGGTTATGCAATTTGGAAATACAATGCAATATCTATAAAGACAAAATATTTAAAAATTTATTTTGCATCATCAATATGTAAAAATATTTTTTTTTGTTTTTACAATTAAATATGTACATATGCAACTTGATTTCATGATTAAAAAAAATGCAGAAGCACAATTTACATATTAAAAAAAAAACATTGTCTGAAAAAGACATTGAGTTATGCGGACGTCGTCGAATTAATGAAATTCGTAATTTATAATTTATTGAAAAAATCTAAGAGACAAATAAAAATTATAAACGCTTTATAATCGTTTCGTTAGAACATTGCGCGTGAACGTTGTTCAAATCTGTGTTCTGTCCTCGCGTCGTGTTGTTTGTCGCACGCAACCAAATTGTAATTTCAGAGCATTGTTGCAGGGATCGTCGGAACACAAAGAGAGAGAGATAATTAAAAACCAGTTTATTAACAACGAAAGAAATGGAAAGGTGCAGCAGTTGTGTGTCCACTCGAATATCGAGGTTATAAGGGTCATTTGCGGATGTCATTGTTATTAACAATTGATCACAAACGTTCTGGCAATTATTATTCCACAACAAATCATACGTACCCGTTCCTTGTCATCCACATATTTCTCTAAGTTTCGCTGATAATAGCAAATTTTATCGACCAACGACATATTGCAATCACTGGCGATCACCAGCTGCTCGAGCTGTTCGCTTGTGGCGAGACTGGCGGAGCGGGGTTTAAAGTTCCTCAAACCCCGTATTACACAGCCGTGCGGTACATACGATGCATCAACCGGTCCGTTCGCAATCGTCAACTGTGAATTTAAATCGCATTGGTCTGAACGACCGAATCGACCAATCGCGGAAAAACGCGAAGGATTGCTTTTAAACGCGGGGACAAACAAACCAGTTGCCGATCTGGATTCCGTTTCGTGAACCGCGTCCCGAAGAAGTTCGGTTAGTCTTCGCGACTTTCGTCGGTGAGTGGCGCGTGGTGCGAGAGACGGTGGTGGCGAGTCACGGTTCTGCAGGAAGCAGTAACTAAAAGACTTTCCCTGGTTGACAGCGGTCAGCCGGATCGGTCGCGGATGATTCGGGAGAGATAGTGGTGGCGTGCGCGAGCACCCACCGCCGCCAGCAGGGTTTTAAAGCGCAGCGGGAGGTCGAGGAGGGTTGACCGACGGTGGTGATTTGCGGTTCGGTGGTCCCGGTAAGAGAGCAAGAGGGCGAGAGAAGAGTGAGTGAGAAAGAGAGGAAGACAAGAAGAGGAAGAAAGAGAGTGTGTTGCACACACCGACGTGTGTGTGCGAACCTTGCCTCGACTCGCGAGAGATTCGGCGAGGCGGTCTGTCTTCAGCAACGGGCGAAGTGCGATCTTCGCGGATGGTGATCGCGGTGGTTACGCGGTAGCGCGACACTCTCGTCCGGGACGCGCGCTTCGGAGAGCTGCGGAGGCGTTTACATGGCGCGAGGCGGTGAGCTCGCCGTGCGTGCGCTCCTAAACGAAGAGGGACGAGCACCGTGAGAGAGGACAACCTGGTTTTGAAGGACGGGACGTGTGCATGTCGCCCTGTTGAGCGGGACGGCCAGTGCATCGGCCGTGTAAAAAGAGGGAAAGAGCGAGCGCGCTTTATTACACACATGCCCGAGTGCGTCACCGCCCATATGTAATGTGTCCCGTGCGTGCGAACGAATGAGTAATCATGTACTGTCAGGAAAAGAGCTCGGTCTCCGCCTCGAAAAGCAAAGAGGGTAAGTCGCCGCGTCTCCTTCTCTTTTGGGCCCGTTCTGCTTCTTTCGAAGTTTGCTTTTGTGCGCGCATGTGAACCAAGTGAGAAAAAGGGTGAGGAGGAGAATGCTCCTGGAGCGAGTAGACAAGAGCGAGAGAGAGAGAGAGAGAGAGAAAGAAAAAGAAAGAAAGAAAGAGAGAATAAGTGAGCGAGTGAGCGAGCGAGCGAACGAACAAGCGAACAAGAGCGAGAAGTAATGAGAGTTCCGTTTCGGAACGTGCGAATGGAAGAAGGACGGAATGTCAACGATCGGCGGTATGACAAAGACACAGCGAGATGACAGAGAAGGACGGAATGTGCGCATGTACACGCACGTACATATGTACATACCAATGTCTTGCTTGTGTGTGTGTGTGTGTGTGTGTGTGTGCGTGCGTGCGTGCGTGTTTGCGTGTGTTTGCGTGTACATACTCCAAAGGCAGAAAAGAGAAATGAAACATCATGGAAAAGAACGCGTCAGAATGCGCGCGCTTGGTTGTCTCTCGAGACGAGATTACAATTTTTTCTAAGAACCGACTTTTTGTTTTATCATGTGCAGCGCAACAGCGCAATCTTTTGTGCGGCGCACGCGAAGAACCAGAGAGAGAGAGGCCCCGTGTCAAACGTAATAAGACGACACTCCGTCTCTCCGATAACAATATCTCACCTGTAGTTATGTAAAATTGCATTATTAGTTCGTTGATCCTCTTTGTTGCACCGCTCTGTATGCGTTTGTGTGTGTGTGTACATGCTACGTGTCACAATAAGGTGCGTATGTATAAAAACATACATTATTCAGACGAAATTTAAATTATTCAGCTTCTCGAGACAGACTTGTGTTTTAGATATGAACGTGTCGTTTTTTTTTTTTTTACGTGTTCTTATTAAACGTGCTTCAATTTATTAGTGATAAAAAGACACACTTTATTTATATCTATGTCTTTATATCTATACTTTATCTGTATCGATTCCGAGAGTAGATAAGAAAAAAAAATCACACGCTTTGATTGATGTAAAAATGTAGATTTTTTTTTTAACATTTTTCAAAAAGTTCCGCTCGTTTATATTGAAATACGTACTGCTGTTGTTTGTGAAAATTGTTTCATTAAATTTGGCGCATTCTTTTGTAATGCGATCTGAGAAGAAATGTGATGTGTGTGATGTGTGCGCGTGTATACCTATGTCATCTTCATTAAGATCCAGGAAGACCGACATAGCAGGGCATATGATATCATCGCACACATAAATGTGATACTGTCGTCTCTCTGAATTGTTCTGTGATATGTGTTTTCTTGTGCGTCTGCATTATGTTTAGCTGTTTCAACTTATATATAAATATAATCGCATTTGTGTTGTACGCAGGACCTGTGGCAATGAGGGAGAAGAAAGGTGGTGCTCTCAGTAGGGTACAAAAATTAAAAAAACGCCTTAGTCACAGTTTTGGAAGGCTTTGTAAGTATTTTGCTCTCACACACCACACACAAATTTGTTTCTATATCGATAACCTTTTTGGTGGAAATTTGATTTATCAACAATTAGATTGTCATTAGTTTAAGAAATAATTTGTTGTCAATACTTGAATGTCATTAAATTTCTGTCGCAGCTATATCAAAAGAAGAGGCTGATGATGCAGCAACTAGAGGCCAATTGCCGTACAATGGCTATTCTGAGGAGTTCCTAGACCGCTTGGAGCCGAATGGCAATATACCTGCGGACAAAGATCGCCGTTATGGTGTGTTATTTAGAAATTTTCTAAATTTATGGTGTGTACAATACATAAATGTTTTTAGATTTGTGGTTCGATGTGTATTGCAATTTTTTTTTTTTTTTTTTTTTTTTTTTAAGAAGTAGAATGATAAAAATATCCGTAAGTTTATGTATTTCTGTTATTGTTGGTTTAAGCACGTTTCATGGTCGAAAATTGGACTGTCACAGAATGGGCAGCTGTAGGCGATCACGAGAGAGTGCATCGGCAGCTTTCGGTATCTAGCGATTCCAAACTTCTTGACGAAGACATACGGGAAGAAGCTAGGGTAATACTGCGGCCCAAGCGTCCACCACGGCCAAAGTCTGAGGTTTTTCTCGGTCCGGATCCGCAACCTAGAAGAACCAAAAGATTTTCCGCTTTTGGGGTAAATGCGCGAACAATATTTTGTATTTTTACAATGATTTTTTTTTTTTTTTTTTTCGTTTAAGAGATACACGCGTCACTAATCTGAAATCTATAATTCTGACAGGGAGACTCGCCGTTTGGGAAATCTGAAGCTTATATAAAATTGGAGCAATTGGGAGAGGGATCATATGCCACAGTGTTCAAAGGCTACAGCCATCTCACCAACCAGGTGGTGGCTCTTAAAGAAATTAGACTGCAAGAGGAGGAAGGGGCTCCGTTTACTGCCATTCGTGAGGCAAGCCTCCTCAAAGAATTGAAACATAGCAATATCGTGACCCTGCACGATATTATTCATACCCGCGAGACCCTCACCTTCGTATTCGAGTATGTTCACACCGATCTGTCGCAATACATGGAGAGGTACGGGAGCGGCAGGGGACTGGATCCGCGTAACGTTAAACTGTTTCTTTTTCAATTATTGAGAGGACTGGCGTATTGTCATCGCAGGTGATTACGAATGTACAGTATATAAAATACGTCGACGTCCCGTTGTCCCGATGTATATCGCGTCGATTAATATGTGTTGTGTGTGTGTATGTTCCTGCATTTCTCTAGGAGGGTTCTGCACAGAGACGTAAAGCCGCAGAATTTGCTAATCAGCGAGATAGGAGAGCTGAAATTGGCGGACTTTGGACTGGCAAGAGCCAAATCCGTGCCATCGCATACATACTCGCACGAAGTCGTGACTCTGTGGTACAGGCCGCCCGACGTTCTTTTAGGCTCCACCGAATATTCAACCTCGCTCGACATGTGGGGAGTGGGTTGCATATTTGTCGAAATGTTGACCGGCGAACCGACATTCCCGGGTGTACGTTGCACGTACGACCAGCTCGATAAGATCTTCAAAGTTCTGGGCACACCAACCGAGGAGACTTGGCCCGGCGTCACGCATCTACCTGGATACAAGGCACACAAGTTGGTGTTCTATCCGCCGCGAAAACTTGGATTATCATTCCCGCGGCTCTACGACATCGCCGAGGGTGATAGTATGGCGTCGTCGCTACTGCAACTGAATCCCGATCAACGGATAGGCGCGGAGGAAGCGTTGCATCATCCTTATTTCAAATCTCTTCCTCCGAAGTTATATGAATTACCTGATGGTAAGATTCTTAGCGATCTTGCGAGTGTGTGTGCGTGTGTGTATGTGGATTTGTTCACGCATGTGAAATATCTCACGTGGCGATTCATTCAATTCTGTTGCAGAAGTGTCGATATTCAGCGTAGAAGGTTGTCACTTGTACACAAACTCAAGGGCGTGACGTGAATCAGTGCACTCGACTCTTAAGACTTGAGGTTTAAAACAAATATTAATGGAGTAAATTATAAGCAAACTCTCTCACGCATTGAGTGAATTGTTCATTCTCATAAAGTTCATATGTTTACACATATACACATACACACACACATAGACAAACACCAACGTACGTACATGAGCAAACACACAAGCAGACACGGACACATGCGCAACACAGGCAGACATGCACTACTTCCAAGTGCGTTGTTCGCTCTCTCTCAGGGCTGCTCCATAATTTTTTCCCTCGCTGTTCGTTCTACATACGGTAACAAGTTTCTTCTTCTTTTCATTTTTTTCTTTTTCAAGAGGATATATATATATATATATATATACATATACATATATATATATACACACACACACACACACGATGAGTATAAAATCGTTAACAGAGATAAGTGTCGTAACTGGTCAAGGAAAAACAAGAAAGTAAAAGCTTTCGCGGCTAAAAAAAAAGTTTAAAAAAAGAAGACTATATAAGAATTTGCAACACGCTCGACTTTAGGAAAGCAAAAGCACGCACGACCCATCCTTGCACTTCGTCCAAATATTAGATTTAGATTGACACCAATCAAAAAAAAAAAAAAAAATACAAAAAAATACCAAAAAAAAAAAAAAAAAAAAAAAAAAGAAATACAAAAAAAAAGAGAAAAGTACCGCCGCTCTGCAATTTCCCTGATCCTGAAGCCCAAAGCCGCGTAGGGCGGGCGGTTGCTGATTAGCAAAACTATTACGAAGTATGACTATTACTTAGAAAAATTGTGGAAGACCTGTAGCACTCTCTTTCTCTATATATATACATAAAGGAAAAAAAAAACACTTTACCGTTGTCTCAGACACGATGTTGGCCGCTACGACAATTGTGAGAAAAAAAAATATTGATTGGATAAAACAAAGAGGAAAGTGTCGTTCCGCGTTTGAGTTAAATTAATTGTTAAACACATTTATTGATAGCGCGGATAGATAGGAGATTAGGGAGATTAAGAGACGCTCGCGTGTCAGTATTAGGCCAAGTGCCGTAGCTGCCAACATCGCGAGATGCAGCGGAGAGAAAACTGAACGCTCATCGTTAATAATATCGATGGTAGTGATTTAGATGTAAGTAACTTGTAGCGTTAGAAACGTATTTAATATCAATCGAAGTTTATTGACAATGTCGCAAGATAGAGTTAAAAAAAAAAAAAAAAAAAAGATAATTAGCGAATCGGCGAAGTAAAGTAAATAACCGACGGGGAACTATAGAACTCTTTTTTAGACTTGTCGAAATTTCAATTCGCTAATATAAAAAACTACAACGTTAGTCAAATGGTGCTCGAATTTAATAAAAACTGTGACGTGTTTGAACGCGAACTTCGAACTCGTGGCGTTAAATACTTAACGAGTGTAATCGTTACATTTTTTCTAAAAAGAAAAAAAAACGTAAAATAATAATAAAAGTAAAATAACATACCGCGTAAACAAAATAGCGTTGGCAATAGTAGAAATAGACGAAGAAAAAAAAAAAAAAAGGTACACAGTACGGCGTTACAGTTCTTCCAAATTTTGTCTAAGCTCTACAATTGACGATTATTACGGTGAAAAAAAAAAAAAGAAAAAAAAAAGAAAGAAAAAAAAATATTACTCCTTTTCGTAGGGTTACATTTATACAAATTTTTCAGCACACTTATTACAAAGAAAAAAGAAAAAAAAATTATATATCAACGAGGTGAAAGTAAAAAAGAAAGGAGAGAAGACATTTCGAGGAGATTTTCGAGAGACGCGTTATTGCTAATTGAATAAACTACCGATTATTGCGTTTATTTCGGTAGATTGTATATAGAAAATTACCGGATTTTATTATCGATGATGCTGAGATAGCTAAACCAAGATAATAAATGTGAATTTGTAATAAACTTGAACGTATGGTACTTTGGACCCTTGTTCATCTTTAACCTGGCAGTGGTGTCGCGTGGCGGGAAATCGGACGCAAAAAAAGTGTGTGTACTGTGTAATCGCAAGTTGCAATTTTAATTAGTGAATACGCGCGAAAGTGATATATATTTGAACTTCCGATCGCGCGACGGATTTTAAAGCGAGATTTTGTTTTTATTCAAACAAGAGAATTCGGCGACGATCGGAAGAAAGATCGTTTTTTGTTTTTATCGTTTTTTATCAAATTTTAAACAAAAAAAAAAAAACAAAAAAAAAAATGGCTTACCAGTTCGCTCTGGTCGAAGATTTGTAACTACGAAGTTACAAATCCATTTTTTTTTTTTTTTATGCCAGGCGTATGTGCAACGTATGTGTGTGACTGACATGGCCCGCGGTTTTTAATTCCAAATGCATTTACACATCTTCGCGCAACATACATTTCTCACAAAATCCATCTTCGCATGACCGATCAAAAATCCGTAGATTTCTCTGAGTTTTTTTTTTTTTTTTTTTTTTTTTTTTTTTTTTTTTTTTTTTTTGAGCGTTTCTATTCACGAGCAATAAGACTTACTACTGCCAAGTTAAATAAACAACACACTTCTCGCGTATGATTTTTTTGTTACATTTTTAATTCCTCAAACGTTTAACAAAAAAATTCATACCTGTGTACTTATCACGCTCAAATATTTTGTATTTGTACGTGCGTTTCTTCTTTTTTTAGCATTTAGTATATACGCGCTTCACACATTTGTACATGTTACTTGTAAATTATTGTTTTTCTTTTTTGTACGAAAATCGCAAATACATCTTAGGCCATTATATAATACCGCAATCATTACCGATGTCTTTGACGATGAAGAAAATGTTTTTGTATGTGTTACATAATGTTATATATTTTGCGTTTGTGAACGTGGACATTTTCTCGGATATTATTATTATAATAATATCGCAAAAAAAAAAAAAAAAAAACAACCGCTGCGGTGATATTGCAGTATGTCTGACATTTAGACGGATTTCGCTCTCACTTCCCGAGTTTAAATTAATTTAAATATCTGGAAGCGTCAAAAGAGTTTTTGAGAACATTATGTGCCTGTGCTACAAATGTCTGAAATAATAAAGATACAACTCGCTATATATTATATACATATATATTACTTGCCATTGTGGGGAGTTTTACAATACATTTGTCGACAATTCGAACTTGTTACAGCGATCGAAGTCAAATATATGGGAAAAAATTGCGTCGAAAAAGAATTTTATAATGACAAAAAGTTAAAAAAAATATTTACACACATACGTTAAATTTATATTATTTAAATATAAATAATACAATATTTTTTTAAGCTACATCCTCTCTGCGTGTTTTTTTTTTTATTTTTTTTTATTTTTTTTTTTTTTGTAAGAGAGAAATGTTTTTCGTTATATATATATATTCCATCGTTATCATAAATTCGAAGGAAATGAGAAAGTTCCTTTCGTTTCGTGTTTTTTTTTTTTTTTTTTTTGCTCTATTTGCAAACGCGGTCTAATCGCGGTCAGAATTGACCAATGCGGTTCGCGCGCGAACGTCAAATGAAACTGGGAATTCTCGAACGCTGGTAGCGACGCTCGTTGTCACGCAGCCCGAAATTCTCGAGATGTGAAAAAAAAATCGATATTGCGACCGCTTGACTGAGGAGAAGATGGGAACGAGCGCGACACGTTTGTCGGCGGCGGCGACGGCACGGACTCTACGTCGATAACGTCAATACTCTTTTATTATCCGGACGCTCATATCCGTGTGCGATAACGCGTTTTGATAACGTAGGCGAATAAATTTACCCAGGGCCGGCGTATTTCTCGGGGACGCTCAAATTCGCCGCAAGCACTCTCGACGCGGCGCGTATATAAATCTCTTTCCTCGCCGCGCGATGATTCACGTACCTTTCTTGCCGCAACAACGCCGTGATTCACATTCGTCCCTCTTTCTCTCCCGTCGTCGTTACTGGATCTATGGGGAATGGATATAAGGAAATTTGTGGTTTGAGCGTGTGATGACTCCAAGTGCACGTAGCGCAGCACGACCTCGTCGTTCCCGACCGCCCGAGTAAGAGAATCAACTTCTATTTCGTAATTGCCGTTTTATTTGGTACAATCGCGGTTTGTGTGTCGCGCGCGCGCGCGCGCGTGTGTATGTGTGTGTGTGTGTGTGTGTGTGTGTGTGTGTGTGCGTGCGTTTGTTCCATCTTCAACGTCGTCTCGAGTTCGTCGTCGTTTTCGTAAACAAACAAAGAACACGGAGGAACAGTCATCCTGGGGTTTTTTTTTTCAAGTTTGACAGCGCTAGAAGTTTCCATTAGTTTTTGCGCACACGAGGCTGTTACTATTTTCTGTGCTTTTTTTTTCCCACAAGATAAATCTTTATATAATCGATATATTTTGTGCCCTTTGATGGCCCATTAGCTCTAACAAAACCGACATTGCCCTTCGTCACTGATGTGTCACACACACAATTAATCATCTACATTATTGCATATTTTAACTACTTCCAGAAGACACAGTAGTATGTATAAAATTTATGCATATATACGCGTAGAATATACACGAGTAGATTTATCAAAACATCCGACAGTAAATATTTTCGTTCGTGTAATTGATTTTTTTTTTATTGTGCAAAAACAATTTGTAAAGTAAATACGTTGAAGACTTGTTGGAATTATTAGAATTTACTATACAGGAATTGTACTCTTCTCAAAATAATACACGTGCCTGTGTAATCATTTCAGATCTGTACAAACATGGGACGTTATACAGGAAAAAAATGTCGTCTTTTGACGATGTTGTGGCTGACAGCCTTGTTTTTCTTAGTCGAAATTGTAGTCGGTTATGTGACAAATTCGATGGCTTTAATAGCAGACAGTTTTCATATGTTGTCAGATGTTGCTGCGTTAGTAGTGGCATTTCTTTCGGTAAAGGTAAGTTTCTCTCAAAATTGTTTTTCTGATATGTTTTCCTCTCTAACTTTTTTTTGTTTCTCAAGAGATTAACACATCCAATGATCTTGCTTTTTTACATTGCAGATGTCGCCGAAAAAATGGTCTAAAAATACTTTCGGTTGGGCTAGAGCGGAAGTATTAGGAGCATTAGTTAATGCTGTGTTCTTGGTAGCACTGTGTTTTAGTATTACTGTAGAGGCATGCAAAAGATTTATCGAAGTAGAAGAAATACACGAGCCCAGACTTCTTGTCGGAGTAGGAGCACTCGGATTGCTGGTGAATATAATAGGTTTATGTTTATTCCATGGTGAGTGTACTGTTGCATCACATACAACCAACTTTTTATCGAATTCAAAAAGATTTATTTAAATATAAAATTTAATTTTAATGTAGAAACTTTTATTTTTCTGATATTTATATATTTCTGAGTTATTTTCAAGATTTTCAAGAACTTTTACGCTATAACGAATAATCTTACTTGTTCAGAACTCTTGATCATACATCAATCTCTTTCTTTGTTTAATATTATCATAAATTATCTTGTTATTGAACCTTATTGTCAAGACGATTTTGTCTTGAGTCCAGATAAAGAGATGTACAGTTTGATTACATTAGTCAAGATAAAGAGATGTGTAGGCGGTATAAATGTAATTTTATTAAATGTACATGCACTTTTATAATACTGAGCAAACTGATGCTGAGGGTAACATTTAAAACGTGTAAAATATAATTTTAAATACGATAAGAATAGAATTTTTTAATTAAAAGTATTATTTGCAAATTATTGTTTGAGAGAGACAGGACATCAATTTTATATAAATTAACACACGTGATCTTTTTCAGTTTCAACAATCAAATCAGATAATGTTTCTTTCAAATTACGATTGGTCTTCTTTTAATTAATAATCTATATGATACGCGCAAGAGAGATTAAGATAACTCTAATTACAAAAATATCTTAATTAAAAAAATATCTTAACTAAGTGCAATGTAATTGCAGAACACGGAAGCGCTCATGGTCACTCGCATGGTATATCTCGAAGTCATAATAGACTGAGCACTTTGGTGGGCACGGACGACAATGAAAACGATGAAGCTTACAGACCTACGACGCCCCAGGTGAAAAGAGCGCACGGTCACAGTCACGATGGAAGTCAGATGAACATGCGAGGAGTTTTTCTTCACATTCTTTCAGACGCATTGGGGTCCGTCATTGTAATCGTTTCCGCTTTGATCGTATGGCTTACAAAGTGGAAATATAGGTATACTTGTGTATACTAATTTGCTTATACACAAATTTATACACAAGAATTTAATTCGCAATGTAAAATGTCTTATTTGTTACGCAGATATTACATTGATCCGGCATTGTCGCTTTTGTTAGTCATCCTTATCTTACGTTCAGTATGGCCGTTGCTTCAAGAGTCAGCCTTAATTCTACTTCAAACAGTGCCAACACACATTCAGGTAATATTCGATTTTAACTTTTACCGCGCAGTATATGTTGTAAGATATATGATAGACTTCAAAGTACAGGAATTCTATCGTGTAGAATTTTCATACATTATTCCGCACACGTGCTTTTGTAGGTCGATGCTATACAACAACGTCTGTTAGAAAACGTAGACGGGGTATTAGCCGTACACGAGTTTCACGTGTGGCAATTAGCAGGCGATCGTATTATAGCTAGTGCGCACATACGATGTAGGAATCTTTCAGAATATATGAAAATTGCCGAACAGGTTAAAGAATTTTTCCATAACGAGGGTATACACTCCACGACTATTCAACCAGAATTTATTGACGTGAGTGAAACATGAAAATTATTTTATACGTAGAGATTGTAAACAACAAAAAATTATAACAAAAATTTGAATTGAGCGCGTGCAAATTTATATTTTTCACAAGTGTGTGTTCTTCTTTTATTCTAGTATCATTCAAATAGTGAAATTAAAGAAACACCCACGGAGGATTGCGTGTTGGATTGTCCAAAGACTGATAAGCCGTGCAATCACGCGACATGCTGTGGCCCCTCCAAGCAAGTAAGTACCGTATTATCCATTCTCGTCGAACTTGCATTAAATTATCACCCCCTTTGTGTAATCTTCGATCCTCTCTATTAGTGTAATACGGAGAGAGATACAGATCCTCCTCAATCTATGTCCTCTAAATCAAAGTACTTCGGACGATGCTTAGAAGGAATAGAATCAGATTCAAATTCGACTATTGATAAAAGCCGCGATAGCTCGTCTACTACGTCTGGGAACGTATATTCTGTACTTCATCCATTTGAAAGTACAGTTATATTCTTTTCTAAAAAAAAAAAACAAAAAAAAGAACAAAGACAAAAAAAGAGAAAGTTCTATATTTTGTAAAGCTTTTTTTGCGACTTGAATTACTCGGCGAGGATATAATCGATCTGGTTGATAAACTCTTCGAATTATTTGAATTTGAGCTATTTCGTTCTTTTAAATTGTTTGAATTATTTGATTTACGTTATTTCCGGTTGTTTTTAATTCGAAAATTGAAAACAAATTGCACACACGGTCACTGATACAATGTCATTATTTTATGAAGCATAAATTGCTCTTCTGTTTATCAGAGGTGAAGCAACGAGTTCACACGCACATTCTTATTGCAACGTTGTCACGATAAACGATCGCCTCTGCTGTATCATAAAAGTAGATCTTTTCTCGCGTTCCATTTCACAGATTTTTCAGCCTTATTGATAAGATTTTTTTAATGAGATTCCATCGATAATAACTTTGTGTGTGCGACACACAGGGACGTGAAACACCTTCGCCCGGTGAGACGCCGTACATGTGCAGACAACGTAATAGCTTGGCACGTTCGACCGGCTCAATGGCAGGAGCGGAGCAACAAGAAGTGAATGAGATGGAATGTGGACATTTGCTATCACTGCCCGTCTCGCATCCGACTTCGTTCCATTCCGTCCAAATTCCTCACCCGCACGTTAACGCACCAACTGTCTGAGCTCTCATCGCATTACGAGATATCTACCTCCTATATAGAGAGTAAGATACGGCGGCGCATTACCATTTATATTGTATCGATTTATAAAATGCAATAACGAGTACGAGTCTGTATCTAAGAATTTTTTAGTCTTACACACAATTGATGGCAGAGATTAAATTGCTTGTTCGCAAAATCTCCGCGCGTCTCGTAAATAAAAAAAAAAAAAAAAAAACTCTTTTGTTCCTCTGACAAAAATTGTGTATAGAAAAAATTCTAAACAATTTCATCTATTTTTTTTTGCCATCCAACAAATTAGTAGTTGGGTAATTAAAATTTTGATAATTAAAATGCCAAAGGCATGTTAATACCAAATACATTACGTTACTACATTAAAAGCTAAACAATGTGACACACATTTATTATTCATCGTATCGTATATGCGCGAAGACACACGATACATGATAATAAACGTTAATTTCCTTGAAAATTGCAAGACTTCACATGATATGATATATATAGATATATATATATATAAATATATAATAATTATATAGATATATAATAATTATATACATATG